GGACGGTGCCCCAACTCCCCTATCGGACCTACTCTGTGAGTGACAGGGGGGAGCTCCTCAACCTCCTGATGGGCCCTGCTCTGTGCGTGACAGGAGGGAGCTCCCCAACCCCCTGATGGGCCCTGCTGTGTGTGTGACAGGGGGCAGTGCCCCAACCCCCGGATTGGCCCTGCTCTGTGCGTGACAGGGGGTCGCGCCGCAACCTCCCCATCGACCCTGCCTTGAGTGTGACAGGGGGTGGTGCCCCAACCCCCCAATCGGCCCTGCTCTGAGCCCGACCAGGGGCTGCACCTAGGGATTGGGCCTGCCCTCTGCCACCTGGGAGCAGGCCTAAGCCAGCAGGTCGTTATCTCCCGAGGGGTCCCAGACTGCTAGAGGGCACAGGCCGGGCTGAGGGACCCCCCCTTCCCCCCGAGTGCACAAATTTTTGTGCACCAGGCCTCTAGTCAGTATATATACATATATATATATATTTCACAGTACACTATTGTGACTTACAGCATGAAATATATTTTACATCAGAACCCAGCAAACACAATGCACAAATTTAAAATAAAAATTTCATCAAAGTTACCCTTACTATGTGCAATGAATATGGCTATTTTATGCAGTCTTCTTTTTTAAAGCTGGCTACATACCACAAGTCAACTTCATGAAGGAATGATGGGTTACAACCTACAATTTTATTTTATTTTTATTTTTTTGTTAATCCTCACTTGAGAATATTTTTTTCTCTATTAATTTTTAGAAAGAGTGGAAGGGGTGCGGGGAGAAACAGAAAGAAAGAAATACCAATGTGAGAGAGACATATTGATTGGTTGCCTTCCACAAGCGCTCAGACGGGGCCAGTGATTGAGCCTACAACTGAGGTACATGCCCATGCCCTTGACCAGAACTGAACCTGGGACCCTTCAGTCCACAAGCTGACCCTCTAACCACTGAGCAAACCAGCTAGTGCACAACCTACAATTATAGAAACACTGTTTTAAGACTCACAGTGTCCTCTGCCTACCTCTCTAATCACATCTCATGCCATTCTCTACCACACTTCCCCACTGCTGCCAGCCATACCCTAACTTCTACTCTGTTTGTTTTTTACATTAAACCGTAGGTCAGTTCCTGAAACGTGCTGCTTCGGGGCCTTTGATCTCCTTCGGGCTGCCTGGCACCTTTCCCCAGATGACTGCACTTCATCATTCAGGCCTCAGGACAGAAGCCCCTTCCTCAGAGGGGCCTTCACTGACCACCTAGTGCAGTGGTGGGCAAACTCATTAGTTAACAAAGCCAAATATCAACAGTACAACGATTGAAATTTCTTTTGAGAGCCAAAGTTTTTAAACTTAAACTATATAGGTAGGTACCTTGTTATTAACTTAATTAGGGTACTCCTAAGGCTTAGGAAGAGCCACACTCAAGGGGCCAAAGAGCCGCATGTGGCTCGCGAGCCGCAGTTTGCCGACCATGGACCTAGTGGAAGGAGCCACACACACAACTCCAGCCAAGGCAGAGGGTGAGGGGAAGTCTGAAGGACAAAATGTAAGGCAGGGACACACACAAAAAGCAACAACAAAACAACAGTTCCCTACAAATGTCGCTCTCCACCTCCTTATGTCATCGCACAGGACTGAGCTCTCGCTGCTGAAACTGACTCCATTTGCTTCAGGGTGGCTTCCTGACTCTGAGGAGTGAGGATGCCATCCTCCAATATCCCCAGCACTCTGGACCCTCCGAGTGCCCTCAGATCACTTACCACGGTCTTTTTACTAGAAGCCCAGTGCATGAAAAGTCATGCACTGGAGGGGGGTCCCTCAGCCCGGCCTGCCCCCTCTCACAGTCCAAGAGCCCTCAGGGGTGGGAGACGACCCGGCGATCAGGGGAAGGTGACGCCCCATCACACGTCTGCTGCTGCCACTGCCGGCAGCGCAAGCCTCGGCCGGCCCTGGTTACCTGAGCCTCAGGCGGCCCTAGGCAGCTGGGCAGCCGCCATCCGAGGCTTGCCTGTGCCTCGCACCAGCCCTGAGCAGCTGGGGGGGGCTGGGAGACTCTGGAGGCAGGTACATGGAGCAGCCAGGCCCACCCGACGGGGCTGAGGGAACTGGGTGCCGCCATCTTTGAGGGCGGGGCAGTCAATTAGTATATTCCCTCCTTATTGGCTGTGGGCGCCACCATCTTTGAGGGCGGGGCAGTCAATTAGCATAGTCCCTCTTTATTAGATAGGATTCACTCAGCAAATATCTAAGTGCCTAATATGGTCTAAGCCAGCGGTTCTCAACCTGTGGGTAGCAACCATCGGAAAACACATATTGCATATCAGATATTTATATTACAATTCATAACACTAGCAAAATTACAGTTCTGAAGTAGCAACGAAAATAATTTTATGGTTGGGGGTCACCACAACATGAGGAACTGTATTAAAGGGTCGCGGCATTAGGAAGGTTGAGAACCACTGGAATAGCAGCGAACAAAATGAAGATCCATTCCTCTAACAGTTCACTGCTTTGTAAAGGTGACAAATCTATACACAAATAATTTCAACTTGAATGCGCTCGTAACAGAGATGTGTACTATGTAAACTGGTAGCAAAACGAGTGAAGCGTCAGCTTCCTTTGAGTAGGTAAGTCAGGCATCACAGAAGAGACACCTCACCTGGGACTGGAGGGTCCACAGGGGTTTGACAAGGGGCAACAAGCTCACAAGTCAATGTTCAATGAAAGGCAAGGAGCTAGAAAGCAAGAGGGTAAAGGCACGTGCAGGAAAGGGGGAGCAGGAAAGGAGGCCGACGGGCAAGTGCTCATCATGGAGGGCCTTGTGTGCCAAACCAGTAACTGAACTGTATACCCTAGGGGAGTGGTCGGAAAACTGCGGCTTGCAAGCCACATGTGGCTCTTTGGCCCCTTGAGTGTGGCTCTTCCACAAAATACCGACTTCTGTGCATGGGCCACGAAGTTTCAATCGCACTGTACGTGCGCGCCCGCACATGGTATTTTGTGGAAGAGCCACACTCAAGGGGCCAAAGAGCCGCGTGTGGCTTGTGAGGCACAGTTTGCTGACCACAGCCCTAGGGAATGGAGAGTCTAGAGTTGTAAAGAGGTGGGTAACATCAACAGATTTGGGTTCTAGAAAATTCCTTCTCATGCCAAAGAAAATAATGCATTGGGGAATTGTCAGACCAGATGGTTGAAGACACTGCTACAAGAGTCCCAGCAGGAAATGCTGTCTTAAACTAAACAGGAATTGCTGGCCAGCTGGGTCAGGGAGACATGGGAGAGGAAGGAATGCAGGCTAGCCCTGGTTCCTGGTGTAGGTGACAAGATGGTGGTAGCTACCATTCATTATCTTGGGGAAATAAGAGAAACCAGGAGAAAAGAGACCAAGTTCAGTTTTGGTCATAATGAGGCTGAGGGGCCTTTGTGGTAACCAGGTCGAGATGGTCAGGAAACACCTAGGTTAGGCCCCAGCAGGTCTGAGATGGAACCGAAACTGGGGGATGGAAGCTCAGGCACTAGGACAGTGGTTCTCAACCTTCTGGCCCTTTAAATACAGCTCCTCATGTTGTGACCCAACCATAACATTATTTTCGTTGCTACTTCATAACTCTAATGTTGCTCCTGTTATGAATCGTCATGTAAATATCTGATATGCAGGATGGTCTTAGGCGACCCCTGTGGAAGGGTCGTTCGACCGCCAAAGGGGTTGCGACCCACAGGTTGAGAACCGTGCACTAGGAGAACTCATGTGTGTGCATGAAGTCACCCACGGAAAATGCATAGACTGAGGAGTGAATTAACTAAGGAGCGAGTCCCAGAGAATGGCATCAAAAAAGCAGGCGAAGCCAGTAAGGGGGGGGGGGGGAAAGGGAATGGATGACCATGAGTTTCGGTCACAGCGGCCGAAGTAAACTTTGAGGAGTCATTGCCAGATTTAGCACTAGCCAGGCCATTAGAAACCTAAGCCAGAGAAGCATCGCCAAGCCTTTAGACAGGAAGTAAGAAAGCAGAATACCGAGGCTGGAAGTGACAAGGCGGGAGTGGAAGCAAAGACACGAGGCTTTCACGCAGTTTGCTGATAAGCGGAAGAACTGCGGAGAAGCACAGAATGGAGGGTGTGTTTTTGTTTTATTTCCTTTTCTTAAGATGTATGATTCTAACACCGAGGAGAAGGAAGTGGAGAGGAAAAAGCTAAAATCACAGGAAAAAAATAGAAAAGCAAAGAGTCTTGTCATGAATGGGAGGGAATGAGATCTAAGGGAAAGATGGATGTGTTATCCTTCAGCACATTTCTCTAAACTGGAAACACCAGGCTGCATCGTGGACAGAAATACAGATCAATGTGTAGGATGGGCCATGAGGGTGAAGAAACTGGCTGTTAGACTGTCACCTGCAGTCCGTTAGTCACAGATGCTTAAAAGGTTTGAAATCACGTGAGTTAAGTAGAACCCCGGCGCTCTCAAACAGATGACTGGATTAAAATCACCTGCAGGCTTTTAAAAATGCAAATCCCGAGCCCTGGTCCTTTTAACTCAGAATTCCTGGGGGCGAGGCTCCAGCGAGCGCGTCTTCCGCGTGGAAAAGCGCGGAGCCAGGAATCCGCGGGCCACTGCGAGGTGGCCCTGCGACCCGCTGCGGACAGATGGACAGCCCTCCGCCTCTCGGGGGGCAAAGACTCAGATGGGGAGAGGGGAGCAGCCACGTGCGCACCACCGCATCCTCTGAGATGAAGCGCGCTGAGGTGGAGCCGAGAGCTTGAAGAATGCAACGAGGAACATGCAAATATTTAAAGCGTTTGCCCGGAATGATGCTTCACCTCAGGCTGTCAGGGTCAGTGTCTTACCCTACACTTCCTGTCGAATTACTAGTCTAGGGGCTCAGCAGCCCCAAAGAGACGACGGGGCGAAGGTGCAAGGGCCGGGGACGCCCCGAGTGCGCACCCGCCCCAGGACCGGGGACCCTGCGACACCAGGACCCCGGAGCCGTTCTCTGGCCTCGGCTGGCACTCACCATAGTCTCAGGAGCTCAGCACACAGAAATGGGTAGCACTGCCACAGGAAGACACCAGCTCGGACACCGACGCCCGGTTACCCTGGCAACGGAGCCCCGCCCCCTGCAGGACGCCGCGGAGCGGCCGCGGCCCCTCTCCCTCGTCCCTATTGGCTGGGAGTAACCAAAGCTCCGCCCACCCAGTCGACGTTCGCAGCCCTGGACGCCGTGGCCCGGGGCGACGGAACACCGCCTAGGTCTTGCCAGCGTCATCACTTCCGTTTCGTTGACAGATGACCCGGAAGTTCAAGCCAGTATCCGGCTAGGGTCCAAATATTCTCTAGTTTATTTTAAAATAAGCATCTTTCCAGTTTTCACTCACTGAAGCCTACACCGTCTGGTCTGCGTTACTTGAGTTTAAACGCACGACAGCGTATGTTTACCGGTTTGTTTGGAAACGTATTCCGGAAACGAAACCCTGAGTAATCGATCGGAAGTGACAGGAGGGAGCGGGAAGTCGCTGTCGCGAAGGCCGGCGGGCGGCTGGGAATGGAAGGGGCCTGACTGCGGAGAAGTTACCCCAGGACTTCGCGCCGAGCCCCCTGGACCGGAGAGCCCGCTGGGGAGGACTGAGAGTCTCAGAGGTACGTCCAAGCACGGGCCGGTGGGGCCAGGGGGACGTTGACAGTGACGGAGTCTGGGCTGGAGTTTGGTGTCCACGCCTTCGGGTCTAAGGCTGGACCGGGTCGGAACTTCGGGTACGACCACCCGGGACGGCAGAGGTTGACAGGCTTGTGGCCTCCTTACGGGTCGCCTGTTACCCACTCCCGACCCCGCCCCCCGCCCTCGCCCTGGCGCTCGCGGTGCTTGTCCATCGCGCAGCATCTTCCCAGCGCGGTTGGCGGGCCCCTTGCGCCCTCCAAGGCACTTTGAGACCCGTTTGCCGGGGGAGCGAGTCCCGGAGCCCCGGTGCCGAGCTGCGAGCTGCGGCGAGTCCTCGGGTGATGGCTGCTGTGGGAAACCAGCCGCCCCCCTGAGCAGTTCACCATCGATTTCTAGCATCGCGTTCCTACCGCCTCCCTCTCGTGTTCTGCCCTGACTCTTCGTCGATACTTTGCGGCCACGCACACATTTCTGAGAGTCCAGGCTATGCCACTTTAATTTTATTTCTGAGGAAGTGCAAAGTGAGCCATCATGAATATTTTTGTTTGTTAAACATCTAAATAGAAGCTCTGATATACAAAGTGAACACATTAGTGCCAGTGTCTGCTGGCACTAATTACTTTAAATTTCCAGTTGTTATGTCAATGATGCAAGAGCCTCTGCAATAGCTTATGTGCTATTTCTGAACTGAAATTCAGGACACACATCCAGTAATTTAGAGTATCCTGGTGAGGACAGTGACAGAAACACCACCCCTGATTTTTTGTGTGTGTGAGAGAGAGAGATTTGGTAGCTTTAACAATACCGCCTGTTAAAAAAGGGGTGTGAGGGATACTCCCTTTCTAAATGCATGTTACTAAATACAGAAGTAAGGAGAATATAATTAAGTTTCAGGGTATTACTTAGTAAATGTGTTTATACAGTATTGTTTTAATTCTTTCATTTTATACATTTTTAGGTTATTCAGTAGAAGTCTTGGGGTGCATTTTCATTGATTAAAAATGACTACTCTTGAGAGTTTACAAACTAAAGGTAAGTCTTCTTTCGATGATAATTGTTTTTAAACCATGACATTTATGATGATAGGGCAAAGGCATGTTTGAGCCAGCGGAGTAGATCTCATAGAGGCCTGGGGATCATCTGTGTCTTGGACTGTAGCTGAGTCTTTCACTAATGATTTGGTGGGGAGGGGACAAAAATTAAGCAGTTCTAGGATGAGCTAGTTACTGGCTGTTAGCGTGAAATCCTCTAGGGTGTGTTAACATCAGTGAACTTCAGGAAGCACCAATTCACCTTTTCTGTACCAAGCACATTTCCGGAAGCTGAGGAGACAAAGGCTAGGAGGCAGGCGAGCCTGCCGAGCTCCCAGCACTCTCGTCTGCGGGAAAGCAGTGATTTGAAGACACGCTGGTGTTTGCATTACTCTGAAAGCACTGAGCGAGGAGGAGGGGAAAGGTCAGGGATTTGCCCCAGGTCACACAGTCTGTGGCAGGAGGAACTGGAGTTATTTTGACTCGGCGTCTGGTGTTCGTTCTATCGCACCATCATGCTGACTTAAGGTGTCTGTCTTCATAGATTTGCACTTTTATGAGAAAAGGAAAAATGTTTAATAACAAACTATGAAGTCATATTCTTTTTGCCTCAGTATTCTAGAGCAGGGTTGAAAATTAGGGCCCTTGAGACTCCTGAGAACATTTGCAATCAGTTTGATAATAGGGAGCACTAACTGAATCCCACTTAAGCCAAGTGCTATCCCAAATAAAAAAGAATTCTGTTCTTCTCATTATTAGACCTATATTAGAAAATTTATTCAATGATTAGTTTGAATTTCATGTATAAAATTGTGGGGGTCTTTTTCCCCCTTCTTTTATAAGTACCTACATAATATGCTCAACTTTGTCTCATGGTCCGAACAGCTTAAAATATTTATTATCTGGCCCTTTACAGGAACAGTTTGCCAACCCCTATCATTTGTTCTTTCCCTGCCTTTCAGCATCCTTGGGGAAGACAATAAGAATGAGTCAGAAACCTCAGATATGTTTTAATCTTTGATAACTGATCACAGATGGAAATACTGTTGCTGCACAACTGAATTATTTGGTTAGTTCCCTCCAAACACTGGAGAAGGATAGGGGTGATGTTTTGCCTTATGTAAGCGTTGCTCATCATTACGGAGCTGATACCACACATCGTGGTCCTCCCACTTGGGAGAAGGTAATTGCTCATGAATGTGTCCTGGCTTGTGCCCAGTGCATGTGTAATAAAGGTTTCTATGTGTGTCATGAGAAAAACAGAACTATGAAAGGTGAGCTTCCAGGTGAGGAAAGGGGAAGCCCTGACCCATGTGCCTGCTGGTGCGTGCCTGTGGGCTGGCATCGTCGCCATTACAGAGAGGGAGCCGCCACGTGGCACACAGTACAACTTGGCTCTCCTAAGCCCTGAGTAAGTAGGACAGTGTAAATGCAGCTAAGAGTAAACTGTGGTTGAACCAAGTTGATTGAATTTGATTGGAACTTGAACATATTTTGTTTGAAAGGAGATTTCTGTTATGCTTCAGTGGGCCTGAATGTAAAGCTCTAGTTTCTTTAAAAAAAAATATATATATATATATATATATATTTTATTGATTTCAGAGAGAAAGGGAGAGGGAGAGAGAGGTAGAAACAACAGTGATAAGAGAGGATCATTGACCGGCTGCCTCCTGCACACTCTCCACTGGGGTTCAAGCCCGCAACCTAGGCACGTGCCCCAAGCAGAATCGAACCGTGAACTCCTGGTTCATAGGTCAGTGCTCAACCACTGAACCATGCCAGGTGGGCTAGTTTCTTTAAAAAAAAAAAAAAAAAAATCTGTGGTTAATTCATGATTCTATATTACATCTTAAAGGCCAGGTGTCTCGGTGATAATTAGATTTGCATTAGACAGAGATCCTTAGGAAGAAGGGTTGAACTGAGATTTGAAGGGTGGGTAGGAACTTGCTGCAGGGGGGAGGGTGTTAGGAAGAATATTCCAAGCAGAGAAATGTCTGGAGAGGAAGGCAGACTTTTGTTGCTGTTGAGACCCCTCCAAAAAGCAAGTCAGGCTGGAATCCAGAGTCTGGGAGGTGAATGGCAGAAATGGAGCCCAGTAGACAGGCAGGGCCAGGTCTCGGAGAGCTGGGCAGGCCATGCTAAGGATCTTGGTTTGTTCTGAGAGAGACGGGAGGCCATTCAGGGTTTGATGCAGATCAGCTCTACACGATTTTGAAAGCTCACTATAACTGTCATAAATTCTGTGGGCTCCCGTGGTCTGCCAGGTAGCATCATTAGCAGAGGCTAACTTCAGGTTGATGAGGCAATAGTTGTGGTTTGTGGATGGCCTCCTGGGCCAGTTAACAGCTTACTGTGGAGTCAGATTTGGATTCAAATCCCAGTCTGACACAGATGATTTGGACAAGCTGAGCAACTTTTCAAAGCCCCTGTTTCTGTCTACAAAATGTGTATGTTGTGCTTACCTCATGAGACAGGTGTAAAATTAAATGTCACGCATCTGAAGGACATGGAGAAGCCCTTCACACATAGTAAGTTGAATAAAGGTTAATTATTACATTTGTGGGCTTTGCCTTCCATTTCTCCAGTGTGTGCTGGACTTGTCAAATGGCAGGAAATCTAAGGTGTAGCTCAAAGGGATGCTACGCACGAGTTCAGGAGCTCCGTGTAGGTTAGGGGTCACCTGAGTTACCTCCTCAAGGTCTGCAGCACTTCCTGTTCTAGCACACCCTCCGTCTTCCTCAGCCCTAAACCACCTTCTGGCTGAGTCAGTGAAGGAGCCCTCTCTTGGAGAAAGGTGACTCTGACACTTTTCTTACTGCTCCACTGGCGGTAAGACAACGGGTGGAAGAAACAAATCTGTTACTGACTGGAGCAGTGGCAGCGTACTGGTGAGGAGAGCTGCCTTCTTGCTTACGTGAGGGAAGATAATTGTTTTCCGTTGAGCAAATTAGTTTGGTAAACATGTGTGCAGCAGTGCTCTAAGCGTTATGGAGGAAAGGGATGGGTGCTACTGTTTATTGAATGCCTGCTATTTACTTTAAACCTGAACTTGAACTTCGGGACACTGGAAGAGGCAGTATATGCAGTGGCGACTACTTAGAATTCACTTCTGCCTCTTCACTTACTGGCTGTGTGGTGTGACCTTAGGCAAGTTGCTGGACCACCCTGTGCCTCATGTTCCTCATGTATAAAATAGAGCTAATCGAACTACTCACAGGGTTATGTAAGGATTACAAGAGTTCTATGTGAAGTATTTAGAATGGTATTTGGCACATGCTAAGTCTTTTGTAAGTGTTGGTTACCTGTTACTTAATATTTTCTCATTTAAAATTCAGATTTAATACTACCTAGATGTAAATATTATTAAATTAATTCCATGGAAGTTAAAACTGAAGCTGAGATCATTGTAGGATTTTGTCCAGACAGTAACAGTGGAAAGAAATTCAAACCAGATCTGGCTGATCCCCAAAGTCCTATCATATCTATTGCACCATGTTCCTTCCACTTGTATGGGGCATAATGTCTGCTCTTAATGTGCTTATCAGACTTACTGGGAAAGAGAAAATAGCATCTACAAAACCCTTAAAATGATAATGTTGGTTCATGATTGAGTTTCAAACTGAATGTTTGAGACAGTAAGTGCCATGGGTGTTCTTCAGAGAGTGGGCCGAAACAATCGGGAAGATTGAATGTCAAGCGTGGATTGAAGCTGACTTCTTAGGGGTAACCGAGAGCCACAGTGAGGGCCAAAGAAGCCACTTAGGAGAATAAGTCAGCGGGAAGAGCGATTAGAGGCCTGGGAGAGAGCATTGGATAGTCCAGTTGGGTAGTTTGTGCGAAGCATTCTTTCCAAGAGTTCAGACAACAGATGAATCTCTTTGAAGTAGATGTTTTCAAATATGCATATATATAGCTGACATTTATTTTTTATAGTTAGCTGACACTATTGCATGTCTAGGTGCGCCAGGCTCTTGATCTTACTGTGTTCTTGTTTACCACAACCTGCAGCACAACTGTCATTGTCTCCATTTTGCAGGTTAGGACACTGAGGTTCATGGAGGGCTAAGTGATTTTCCTAGGGTCATACTAGGTCTAGGAAGTAGAGGTCAGAACCAAACACCCCGATTCCAAATCTGCATTTCCTACCGAGAGAAGCCATTTACATAAGGGAAGCTTGAACCTGTAGGGCAGAGTTCATCTTTCTTTGACACACGATTGTTTTGAAAATTACTTTCAGTCTGAATATTTCCATTCTGTAAATGCCAGTAATTCTGACATGTCTTGGCATTTTCTTGGTACTTCTTTTCAGTAAGTAGTTTATGTTTTGTGCTCCCTTTTTCAGTCACCCTGACTTCAACCCCAGTCCGAGGAGCAGGAGATGGAATGGAAACGGAGGAGCCACCTAAGTCTGTTGAAGTCACCTCTGGAGTCCAACCTGTAAAGCCCCACACCCTTCCGAGTCCACGAAGGAAAGCAGTCGCCTCAGAGAGCCCGGGAGTCCTGCAGCTGGGCAAGATCCTCACCGAGAAAGCGGTGGAAGTCGAAGCTATACGGATATTGGTTCCCAAAGCTGCTATAACCCACGTTGTCCCCAACAAAAATGCCAAGGTTAAGCCTCTCGGACGTCAGAAAGGGGAGCTCTCTGGTCCGTCTGAGGGGGCTGCAGAGCCCAGGAAGGAGCTCGCAGAGGTGAAGAGCACCCTGGAGAAGCTCCGGAACTCGGAAAGGAGGCTGCTGCAGGACCGAGAGGGCCTTTCCAACCAGCTCCGCGTGCAGACAGAGGTAAGGGGCCGGGCTGCAGCGGTGGCCACACCTGGCCCTGGGCCTGCAAGTTAGAGACCCCACTCCTCCTGGGAAGGCGGTGCCACTCACTACAGCTCATCACGCTCTAGATCAGCAGTTCTCAACCTGTGGGTCGCGACATTTGGGGGTCGAACGACCCTTTCACAGGGGTCGCCTAAGACCATCGGACAACACATATATAATTACACATTGTTTTTGTGATTAATCACTATGTTCAATTTGTAACAATGAAAATACATCCTGTATATCAGATATTTACACTATGATTCATAACAGTAGCAACATTACAGTTATGAAGTAGCAATGAAAATAATTTTATGGTTGGGGGTCACCACAACACGAGGAGCTGTATAAAGGGTCGTGGCATTAGGAAGGTTGAGAACCACTGCTCTAGATGCTTCCTCTCACATTTCCCACTCTCAGGGCCTCGCATAGAACTAGTGTATGTCGGGAACGTATGCTCTAACCCACGTTGAAGAGGGAAGAGTGAGGGCCTTTGGACACCTGTAAGTTGTAAAGGAGGTTACAGTTGTAAATTTCCAGACCAAAGACTGGCCAACTCAGGCTGTGAAACTGACTTGTTAGTAAATCCTGTTTTAAGGATCCATGAATTCCAAGTATTTTTACCTATGTATACATAATGCTTGGAATATAGAGAATGGTAGGATACGTATTGTTCTCGTCACTGTAAAGGGAAACAATCTATAATGTTTGTGTTTCTTTAATCTTTTCGTCATAGTTAACATCG